TCATCACAGAGAACTGAATGTATCACACTGCGTTAGTGTACTGCGTATGCACCTCGGCGAGTCCCGTAACCCGCTAGAAGCATTGTCCCTGGTGCCCAGTGATTAGGTTTGTGTGTTTGAAATTCTAAATTGGGCATTTAATTTCATAGCAGTAAGCTGAAGCTCTCAGCTCTAGAGATTACAAACAGTAATAAACGAGCCTCTTCCTTCCACTACGCATTCCCTAAGTACATATTTTTATAGCTCCTCATTCTTCGGAATGACATGCAGACTCTACAGCCACAGAGAAGCCAATTATCTGTATAATCAGGCATTGCTTTACTTCACGTTGCACAATAGAAAGATGCGGGTGTTAGTTTGCACCCGCAGAGAAAACTGTAGTGGCTGCCCAGAGTAACAAATTGGGAGTATTGTTTCATTTCAGAATATACAAATACAGGTGGTGGCATTGCTGATATTGGGCTTGGCCGTACCCGGAAGGCAGTTGTCATTTCTGGGCCAGTTAAATGCAAAATGGATTTTCCCTGCAAAGGTGGGGGGCATGCTCGTGACATGGCCATGTTAGATCAGAAACATTGACCAAATATGACCATGTGGCCATGTTATGTCAATGATGTCACAAGTATCCCTGCCCCCTTTTGCACGTGTAACTGGGGGTGGGAGTAGAGAATGTTCTGCCCACAGTCCATTGGCCAGCTGAATTCTGGGTTTAGATCGAACCTGGAGCCGAATCCAAGCTCATCCCTATTGGGGAAGCTGTATCTGAGTTTTATGTTGCTACTTTTAGTCGTAGTTTAGATGTTCATGTTTATGGTTCACTTAGCTTTCCCCTCCCTAGCAGCATATACCTACCTTCCCTTTTCCCCATCTGCTGTTTTCTTCCACCACCAGAACCAAAAAGAGGAAGCTCTCTACAAACTTACATCCTTCCCATATGGAAGATAAATATATTTTAAATATATTTCAAAAATATCCCTCCCAAATATATTGACATATATTTGAAATACTACAATTTCGGCCATATTATATATATATATATATATATATATACATACAGTGGGGATCGAAAGTTTGGGCACCCCAGCTAAAAATTTGTATTAATGTGCATAAAGAAGCCAAGGAAAGTTGGAAAAATCTCCAAAAGGCATCAAATTACAGATTAGACATTCTTATAATATGTCAACAAAAGTTAGATTTTATTTCCATCATTTACACTTTCAAAATAGCAGAAAACAAAAAAATGGCGTCTGCAAAAATTTGGGCACCCTGCAGTTTTTATAGCATGCACTGCCCTCTTTGCAAAGCTGAGACCTGCCAGTGTCATGGATTGTTCTCAATCATCATCTGGGAAGACCAGGTGATGTCAAGCTCAAAGGTTTTAAATGCCCAGACTCATCTGACCTTGCCCCAACAATCAGCACCATGGGTTCTTCTAAGCAGTTGTCTAGAAAACTGAAACTGAAAATAGTTGACACTCACAAAGCTGGAGAAAGGCTATAAGAAGATAGGAAAGCGTTTTCAGATGTCAATATAATCTGTTCGGAATGTAATTAAGAAATGGCAGTCAACAGGAACAGTGGAAGTTAAAGCAAGATCTGGAAGACCAAGAAAAATATCAGACAGAACAGCTCGCAGGATTGTGAGAAAAACAATTCAAAACCCACGTTTGACTGCACGATCCCTCCAGAAAGATCTGGCAGACACTGGAGTTGTGGTACACTATTCCACTATAAAGAGATACTTGTACAAATATGGTCTTCATGGAAGAGTCATCAGAAGAAAACCTCTTCTACGTCCTCACCACAAAAATCATCGTTTGAACTTTGCAAATGAACATATAGACAAGCCTGATGCATTTTGGAAACAAGTTCTGTGGACCGATGAGGTTAAAATTGAACTTTTTGGCCGGAATGAGCAAAGGTACGTTTGGAGAAGAAGGGGCACAGAATTTAATGAAAAGAACCTCTGTCCAACTGTTAAGCATGGGGTTGGATCAATCATGCTTTGGGGTTGTGTTACAGCCAGTGGCACAGGGAACATCTCACGAGTAGAAGGAAAAATGGATTCAATAAAATTTCAGCAAACTTTGGATGGTAACTTGATGCCATCTGTGAAAAAGCTGAAGTTAAAGAGAGGATGGCTTCTACAAATGTATAATGATCCTAAACACACCTCGAAATCCACGAGGGATTACATCAAGAGGCGTAAACTGAAGGTTTTGCCATGGCCTTCACAATCTCCTGACCTCAACATAATTGAAAATCTATGGATAGACCTTAAAAGAGCAGTGCGTGACAGACAGCCCAGAAATCTCAAAGAACTGAAGACTTTTGTAAGGAAGAATGGGCAAAGATACCTCAAACAAGAATTGAAAGACTCTTGGCTGGCTACAAAAAGCGTTTACAAGCTGTGATACTTGCCAAAGGGGGCAGTACAAGATATTAACTCTGCAGGGTGCCCAAACTTTTGCAGACGCCATTTTTTTGTTTTCTGTTATTTTGAAAGTGTAAATGATGGAAATAAAATCTAACTTTTGTTGACATATTATAAGAATGTCTAATCTGTAATTTGATGCCTTTTGGAGATTTTTCCATCTTTCCTTGGCTTCTTTATGCACATTAATACAAATTTTTAGCTGGGGTGCCCAAACTTTTGATCCCCACTGTATATATATATATATATATATTTATATTTTATTTTATTTTTTTCATATATATATATATATATATATATACACTGCATGCTGAAATGTGTTTTTATATATTACAAATTATATGACAGATATTGTAGTATGATGCTTCAGCAATAAAAATCCTGTCTTCTCGCAAATTGTGTGTATGGAGAGTGGAGTAAAGAAGACCTCCAGTTTAAAAGAAAAATGGAAAGCCAGCAGCTACAAATACTGTAGATGCTGAATTTTAATATACAGATTCCTACCAGCCCAGGGATCCAGCGCTGTGTTCTCCTGGGACTGTTCTTTGCTGGTCTTCGGGTCCCCAGCGCTGCCATCTTGACTATGGAAAGCCAGCTGTGACTACTTGATGCTTCACATCTGGCTCTTCACTTTGCATGTGCGAGATGCGCTCCGCTTTTGTGAATGCATCTGCAGTCTCTTGGGACCAGGGGCGGACTGACAACTCATGGGGCCCCCGGGCAATAGGAGATCATGGGGCCCCTGTGTCCTTGACCACACTCAAAAAAGCCTATAAAAAAGGTACGAGGTGTATTTCATGGGGCCCCCTGCTGACCCCGGGCCCTCGGGCAGTGCCCGAGTGCTCGAATGGTCAGTCCACCCCTGCTTGGGACAGGTGACATGTCCCAGGAGGTTGCTTGGGTGAGCTTCCATTTGGCAGGCCTAGGAAGTGGACCTGCCAGAAATAGGTACCCGCTCCCCAAAAAAAGCCTGTAATATAGGCGGGGAAGCCGTCATGCACATGGGACGCTTTGGCCCTCATGCACATGGGACGTTTTGATGACGCTGGTAACATTAGCTGTGTAAAGTCACTTTAAAAACGTAAACTTTTCAGCTTTTTTTTAACGTTTTTGCATTAGCGTTTTGCCATGATTAGCGTTTTGCCATGACTACCGGCGGTTTACCGTTTTGCAGTGTTAGAGCATTTTTACAGCTGAAAAAACTCCTCTAGAAACCCACTAGTTTTGGGTTTTTTTTCCAGCTAGAAAACGTCCCAGCCAAAAAATGTTGATTCCAGTCTATGTGTGTATGGACACATAGGATAACATGCTGGGGGGGTTTACTGGCTGTAGAAAAAAATCTAAAACGCCAAAAACAAGTGCCAAGTTGCACCCTATTGTCGGCAATTACAGCAGTTCTGACTTGGTCGGAGCCGCACCGATTTCAAAGCCGGGTTTGATTTGACCGGGGTCTAAGGCTAGGTTCACACCCCTGTGTGTTGGGATTGATGCATTTTGCATTATTTTTCCAATAGGAAAGTATTGAATTTGACGCAACTTTGATGTGACTTTGGACGGGTGCAACTTGGGTGCTTCTTTGTATGGGGTCAACTTTGATGCAACTTTGGATGGGTGCGACTTTTTTTTTGCGAATAGGAAAGTATGACAGTCCTGTTCATGTAGTTTGACTTTGATGTGACTTTCATGCTACTTGAGTGCCAGAGAGTCGCATCAAAGTCGCACTGCATGAACAGAACTGTCATACTTTCCTATTCGCAAAAACAGAAATGCATTAAAAAAGCATCACTTGCATTTTTGGTGCAGTTCCATTAAAGACTATTGCATAAAAAAAAGCAATCTTCTGCGGGAAAAAAGTCCCTAACCCTTTAAAAAAAAAAAGCGCACCGGTTCAAAACACACAGATGTGAAGTAGATTTACAAATCATGTTAAATGGACCGCAGTGCATTTCTGTAAATTGGAAAACGCACTAAAAGCACATAAGTGTTAACCTAGGGTAAGTCACCGTCCTGGAACAAGTATGTAGGACAGTTTCAACAGACTCCATCCTTGTTCCTTGTAGCGAGGAGAGGGTGATGGTGACAGTCCCGGAACCGGTGTCCTGAAAAACAAGTCCTCAGCTTCTTTATTTCTATACCAAAAAGTTCTGTTTAACCCCTTGGCACCATACGCACGCAAATATGCGGCCTCTCAGCAGCTTGGCCTTGGCGCTGAGGGGCTGCATATTTGCATACCCAATGTAAACAACAGATGTGCCCAGAGCTCGCGCCCTGCTTTCTGATCATGTGACCGCCATGACAGCCAATCACGGCGGTGACATGACCCTAAACCCCGCCTCCCGGTGTCACAAACTCCTTAAAGGGCCGGCAGGCGCCAATGGGTTAAAAGTCAAAGGAGCTGATTTACTAAAGGCAAAAAGATTGTGCAAGTGCAGTAAATGAGATAAAGCTTCTGTGATGGGAGTCACTTTGGGTGGGGGGCCCATGGAACACAGCCCCCTTTAGAGAGGTGGGGAGACCCCTGTCTCAGTTCCCCATATCCCTCTTATGTTTAAGTCACTCTGTGCCTGTTAGGGGTACAGGGTGGAATGTCCTGCTATTGTGTAGACATGTATAGGTGGGGTGTGGGGGTTGTTCATTGTTCACTGCCATGTGGCTGCATCCCATTGTTCTATTGTGTGCCTGGCTTGGGAGCAAACTATTATGGGATGTATGTGTTTGTGCATTGGCTTGGTGGGGGGTGCTTCCGGCAGCCCTTCCCCCTGATAGGACTGCCCGCTCATGTGTTTCCTGTTACTGAGTGTGTATTTCCCCGCCCTGTGTATATATCTTGTATCTATGTTAAAATAAAGCAGTCTATCTCCTGGAATCCTTCAAGTCTGGTGCTGTCTCCTCTTGTATGGTCAGCGGTGGTGTCCGTGGATCTGTGTTTGGACAGGGAAGCGGGAGTCTACCAGAAATACCCTTGTGCAGTCGGCGTCCGGTTCTGTTACAGCTTCACTTTACAAAGAATACCCAATCACATGCAAGGAAAGTAAAACAACAGCATTTTTGCTTGCACATGATTGGACGATGGAAGTCAGCAGAGCTTCCCCTCGTTTACTAAGTTCTGGAGCAACTGCACTTGCAGAGTGCGCAGTCTATTTGCCTTTAGTAAATCCACCCCAAAATCGTAATTGGTTGCTCCACATTCATTTGCAGACCAGCCTCATTTTTTTGCACAGGCTTTCTCCAAAGCACAGACTGAACAGAGTAGGCTTTCAGAAGCCAAAATCTGCGTGCGACGATTAAAGTTCTTTTTCCTCACAATGCTGCAAGGTGATGGCTTTGATTCCAGGCATGGCGATAATTAGGGAGCTGTTGATAAGCGAGATTTTCTCCATGGAAATTATTAGCAGCGATGATAATTATTAGCAGCGATGATAATTACTGTAGTGATTATCTTCTAAAACAGAGAGGCCTTTCACACATGGGTGGTTCATTTACTGTAAATAGAATATAATGACAGGGAGTGTTTTTAAAAGGGAAACCATTGTACGTTATCAGAAAGTATTCATTTTGTTTTGTTTATGGCATTTATCTGCAATTAATTTATGGTAATTTTCATATTCATTACATACTTGAGCTGGCCATTGATGGATCCAAATTTGGCCGGTTCAGCGGGGCTGGCTTCGGCTCTCAGGCGCACGTTGAAAAACAGAGCCAGCTGTCAATCCTGCAGCTGGGTGGATCCCAGCAATGCTGTCAGGATCCTTCCAGAGCCTGGCGTGGCTTCCCCGTCAGCTGAGAATGGGCAATAACCCACTATAAGCTGGAAGAGGTCAAAAGTATGGTGCTCCTGTGACGCACAAGAGAAATATGGCCAAGAAAAGCTTTGACCATACTTCTCTTTTAATATTTAATGCACAGAATGACAGTCTCTAGAGGCGCCCCCTGTTTTTATGTCAGTCATGTGTCTGAACTGTCCTGGGCAAAGAATGGTACAGTGCCGTCATTGCCGAACTGGAAATGCAAGTTGCCTAGTAGCCATGATGGTTCAGTGACTTCAGTCCTTTGAGTCACTGGCCTGGAACAAGAATGTAGATGAGGAGTTCTATCCTCACTGCCTGCATGCTTGTTACAGATGTAGTGCACACCCCGACAGGCTTCGCTGATCTGTTCCAGGTTCTCTTCCCAAAAGGGTGTACAAGCAGCCAGGCACACAACAACTCAGTCTCACGACTCAATGACCAGCCAGGGAAGGTCTTTTTATGGATTAATGCTTATTGAACTTGGATGGGGTCAGGGGCGGACTGACAACTCATGGGGCCCCCAGGCAATAGGGGATCATGGGGCCCCTGTGTCCTTGGCCAAACTAAAAAAAGCCTATGAAAAAGGTACCAGGGGCATCTCATGGGGCCCCCTAATGACCCCGGGCCCTCGGGCAGTGCCCGAGTTTCCAAATGGTCAGTCCGCCCCTGGATGGGGTGCAGAGTGAGCTTTGGTATGCTCCATATTCAGTGCCCAAAGAAACCAGAGGACACCCTTTGTCTTCTCTACACTCCTCAGGATAATTCATTCCCCTCTTGGCAGACAATAGGAGAAAAGATTGGGTCTTCAAGCAGAGTAAGGGTCCCACTACAGCAACACTGGAGCAGATGCTAAAAGGGTTAGAGCAGCAAACAGTTACTAGGGTCCCCCGTATACTTGGATACCTCTGTCCAGTATCGACCAGACACTTCTGTGAATTTCTAGGCCAGATCCTCAGTGAACCCCCTTTGATTTGTCTCCAGCTTCTTTCAGAAAGTAGGCCCCACAGCTGGGATCTCGATAAACTCCTGCAGCCCTTCAAGCTGGGGTCTTCTCCTCCTGGACAAGAGCCCTGCTGTTCCAGGTCCCAGACTATTTATGCTTTCGCAGCCACCTACTGGGCATCCTCTCCCCCAGTTGTTGGCTGGGACCACATGAATATTCAAGCTCAGGGTCTACCCTCTTCAAACCCACTACATTCTAGAATGTAGTGGGTTGGCTGCGGCTTGGGCTCCTCCTGTTTCTCCCATAGCTCTCCCTCCCCAGCCACCAGCAGCTCTCTCCCTTCAGCCTCCAGCGGTTCCACATGTGATGTTGCTGACCAATCAGATGCCATCAAGCCCGTACTGTCAGCACTGCAAGGTGAGGAGAGAAAGTCACGAGAATTTCAAATCCCTGGACCCGTGAAGTGTCTTTTCATTGTCTGACATCAGGGATCGGCATTCTGGTACAGCGGGACCAGGGGGGATGGGAAGGGGGTCCAGTGGATGACTGGAACTGCTGGAGGCTGGGGGGAAGAGAACCACTGGAGGCTGGCCATAGGAGAGGCAGGAGGAGCCCAAGCTTCGGATGTTGATGTTCACAGTAAGATCGGGAGCTGGAGCTCTTGGAACCCTTCATGCAGAGAGGTTTCCCGCACCGCACCTGTTTGAACTCAAAGTCACTATGGCAAGCCTAGGTTTACACAGGGGCTGTGCAGGAAACCGCATGCGATTCGGACAAGAATCGTGCAGCATTCCTGTTCAAGTCGCATGCAATTCTTTGCAGTGCAATTTGAGTCCATTCATTTTGTATGGGCTCAAATCGCACTGCAAAGGTATCGGTTTTGGTATCGGGAGCATTCATATGAGTAATAATACTTCTGCAAGTACTCGGTATCGGCAGCGATACCGGTATTGGTGCAACCCTCTACAACAGGAAATGAAAGTAAATCTCCTAGAAGCTGTTTGGATAGGCAAGAACAAATCAGGGTAAATGCGGCTAAATACTTCTAGCAAACCAAGATTCGGATATATAAGAACCTTCACAGTCTTATGTCTACAGCCAGAATCATTTTTATACAGTATGTAAGGATTAAAACTCCTTTTCTGCCATCTGCGCCCCATTGGGGCGATTCTCCTTCATTCTCATTTCTTTAGACACATTTAGAAGTGAGAGAAAAATTCTCTAAAGTGAAGGGAAAACCTCTCTTAGATAGCCTTCATGAGAACAGGTGTCAAATCGTAATGTAAAACAAGTTCACACATCCTAAATGTGGTGCTAAAAACTAATGATAGAGGCCTCCTCAGGAGTCTCCCAATAATCCAGTAATTGAAAATAATGAAGGTAGCACAGCAGAATAGTGGTTCAATAGTTATATTTGCAAAATATCAAGAAGTATATAAAATATGGAAAGACATATAAGTACATCAGGCCATATAAGCCATCCCAGACTCCACTTTACTTAAAGCAACCAATATTATCTATAAATGAATGATGCAGTTTATAGTAGATGGGAGCTACTGTAATCCAGGGCTTAACATTTCAAATTCTGAGCTACTAGCCAGGTCTTAAGAGTTACTCTCCACCAACAAACACACACAGAGACACCTGTACACACACACACAGACATGTACATACACACAAAACCACATACACACACAGAAACATGTACACACATGCACAGAGACACATGTACACACACACACATACATACATACACATGTATACACACACAGGCACGTACAGAAATGTATACACACAGATACATGTACACACGCACAGACACATGTACATACATACAGACACATGTATATACATACACAGACACATGTACATACATGCACATGTACGTACAAACACACACACACATGTGCATGCACACACACACATACAGTCATGGCCGAAATTGTTGGCACCCTTGATATTTTTCCTGAAAATCAAGTATTTCACACAAAAAAGGTATTGCATTAACACATGTTTTGCTATACACATGTTTATTCCCTTTGTATGTATTGGAACAAATATAAAAACAGAGGCAGAAAAGCAAATATGACATAATGTCACACAAAACCCCAAAAATGGGCTGGACAAAAGTATTGGCACCCTTAACTTAATATTTGGTTGCACACCCTTTGGAAAACATAACTGAAATCAGTCGCTTCCTATAACCATCAATAAGCTTCTGACACCTCTCACACCCGGAATTTTGGACCACTCTTCCTTTGCAAACAGCTCCAGGTCTCTCTTATTGGAAGGACACCTTTTCCCAACAGCAATTTTAAGATCTCTCCACAGGTGTTCAATGGGATTTAGATCTGGGCTCATTGCTGGCCACTTCAGAACTCTCCAGCGCTTCTTTGCCATCCATTTCTGAGTGCTTTTTGACGTATGTTTGGGGTCATGTCCTGCTGGAAGACCCAGGATCTTGGACGCAAACCCAGCTTTCTGACACTGGGCCCTACAGTGCGACCCAAAATCCTTTGGTAATCCTCAGATTTCATGATGCCTTGCACACAGTCAAGGCACCCAGTGCCAGAGGCAGCAAAACAACCCCAAAACATCATTGAACCTCCACCATATTTTACCGTAGGTACTGTGTTTTGTTCTTTGTAGGCCTCATTCCGTTTTCGGTAAACAGTAGAATGATGTGCTTTACCGAAAAGCTCTATCTTGGTCTCATCTGTCCACAAGACGTTTTCCCAGAAGGCTTTTGGCTTACTCAAGTACATTTTGGCAAACTGTAGTCTTGCTTTTTTATGTCTCTGTGTCAGCAGTGGGGTCCTCCTGGGTCTCCTGCCATAGCGTTTCATTTCATTTAAATGTCGACGGATAGTTCGCGCTGACACTGATGCTCCCTGAGCCTGCAGGACAGCTTGAATGTCTTTGGAACATGTTTGGGGCTGCTTATCCACCATCCGGACTATTCTGCGTTGCAATCTTTCATCAATTTTCCTCATCCGTCCACGACCAGGGAGATTAGCTACAGTGCCATGGGTTGCAAACTTCTTGATAATGTTGCGCACTGTGGACAAAGGCAAATCTAGTTCTCTGGAGATGGACTTGTAACCTTGAGATTGTTGATATTTTGCCACAATTTTGGTTCTCAGGTCCTCAGACAGTTCTCGTCTCCTCTTTCTGTTGTCCATGCTTAGTGTG